ATGAAATGAAAAATAGAATCTATTAAATTTCCATTAAAAAAAATAATATAATCATGAATTAAAAAAAAATTAATAAAAAGATTTAGAATTAAGTATAATAACATTCAAGAATATTTTGATTTTTTTTTTTTAACAAAATATATTTTTCATAACCTATGTTAATGCCTAAATAATTTTCTTTTTATATAATTATAAAGATGATATATAATATTCTATTCTAATCATTATCTGAGAATCAAATATGATATATATTTTTCTTTATATTTTCGAATTTCTTACATTATAAAATCTCGAAATCTTTGAAATTTTAAGCAAAATCATATTATATATAATTATGAATATAACCATTTCAATATTCTAAATATCTTGAGATTTCAAATTAAAAATCAATTTCTAATTCTAAGATAATTAAACCAATCATTATTATTCGTAGAAATGAATCCAAAGGACCAGAATCAAGCAGAAATTTATTTTTAATTACCACTCCACAGCATTGTTTTCTGTAGGTGCAACTGTCGGTGCCGGCCGTGGAGAGGGGCTACTCAAGACGGTATCAAATGGCACTGCTTGTGCGTGCGAAACTGTACATGTTGAAAAGGAACAGTCTGGACGTTGCCGCCTGCCTGCGTGTGCGCATCTGCATGTGTGAGCTTTTGGGGGTCTCAATGCCCATTGCTAAGGCTGGCAAAGTCCAATCACTTCACGGACTATCCAAACAGCTGCACTACAAAATCACTTGCATACCGGCATTCCATCTTTGACGTCGCAGGGGGTTCTCGCCAATCGAATTTGCCTAATCAGCTGTAATGTGTGTGTCGTCGTCAACGTCCATGGTAGGATTAACCTCATACCAAAGAGAGAGAGAGAGCATTGGTGGGACTGTCACGACTGGATCTGACATGCATCGCCTTTTTCACTCCCGAGACTGATGTGACAAGCTATGGCCAAGGCACCAAGCGCGCCAGTTCGTTGTTCTTTACTACTAGGTCGGGGCAGTCTTTGAGCAGTAGAGCCATGGCTGCACCTGAGCATCCAGAAATCCAAGAAAGCACACAGGAGTTCTCACAAGAAAGCTCGCAGATGTTGCTATTCCATGCAAAACCCTGCCAACACTTCATACTTGAATCATGAGTCTGTGCTGATGGATTCCCTCTTCTGATGCATCGTAGCCATACTTTGCGAGAAGTGGGATCTCCACAGCCATGCACACGTCTCGGCGCGCATGAGCCTCAACTTAAGATAGCTGCTGGAGTATGAGAAAGCCAGCTGCCCTCAAGCACGCAGCTAGACTGCTAGACTGGCCTGCTTCATGATATCGCCTTCAGAGCCATCCAAGGCATCACGCAGCTTGTAGCGGAAGGCTGGCTGCATGAACTCTCCGATCAACTTATCCTTGCGACCGGACGGCTTTTGCTTTCGACTTTCGGACTTTCGCCTCGCCAGCATCTCGTCCCGGCTCCCAACTCCCACCCAAGCTATCGGTGATGATAAACCCGATCCGGCGCGGTCCTGGATTTCCAGTGCTAGGTCATGTGTCAGGACTGGTGGGGCCATGGCGAAGAGGATAATCTGGCAATCTCGATTCGTCGGGTTTTTGCTGGCGTCTGTTGTCTCGGGCCCAAAGGTGCCGCCAATCTCCAAGACCACAGGCAGACGCTGCGGGGCAGCGGACCCCATTCACTTGCGCTTCCTTCGAGGCAGCTGTCCCTTCTCGCACAAAGCCGGAGACCGGCAGGGCCACGACGGCCGCCTAGGCAACGTCATGACTCCATGACCCACAAGGCTCATTACAAGTTCGGACGCCGATGTTAAAATTCCGAGGGGGGCCGGGGCGGGAAGATGACGGCGCGAAAGCATCTGACGCATGCAGGGGGCCCAGCAGACTGGTAATTAGCTTCAAGTCCGTGCATCTGGGTTCAAAGTGGTTTCTACTGCTGGGCCTCCCAGCTCCAGGCTGCTCCTTTGGCCAGCCTTAAGAGGAAAATTGTCGAACCTTTTCCTGTACTGCAAAAGTCATAACAAAGGCAAATTCCCTTCTGTTTGACGTTGAATTAGGGCCAGCCTCGCTGGCCTCACACTGTGCGTTCCAGATGCTGAGTGCCATTGTCACCTCCAGTGATGCGCACCACGCTTGAGCTTGGCAGTCATGCAGGTATCGTATGGTATCGTGCGTACCTGAGATTCTGCTTTGCTGCCTTGTCACTTTGTGCCCACAACCGATTTCTGCCTCTTCTCGACCATGTTCGACTCATCTGGCGGACCAGGGTGCTTTGCTTGAGGCACTGGATGTAAAACAGCAACTTGGGTAGGGGCCAGACGCAGTCTGGTGCTAGCCGCAAGTACAATCTCATGCCTTATGTAGGAGGAGCTTCCTTCGTGCTTATGCCAATGTAATATTGTGTCCAGTCCCAAGATGAAGAGTGAAGGACCTGCTTCGGTGCTTTCTCGCGCGCTGGCGTCGATTTTGTCAATCAGCTCCATGAGGGCGTCGAGGATTGTCGCACGCTCCTGGCGGGGAGCAGAGTCGCGAAGAGGTACCTGCTCAACGCCCGTAGCCTTGTCGGTGGTATAGATGCCAAGGCCTAGCCGTGCTGCAGCATTCGACAGACGCGCTCAACATCTGACATGAGCTCACAGGAGCGTGCAGATCTTCCCAGTGTGTGGCTAGAGGAAGTCGGTTTCGGATATCGTTGGCTGATGTTGGCTGAAGCATGGGGTCGTCGGAGCCTGGCCCGCCGCCGACATAGACGATGACGAATATGAGAATCTCAACCAATGCTCCGTAGAGACATTGGGCCTCAGCGCAGCACAGGCAAGCACGAACCTAGCAGGGCCCAGGGCCCACGTTCAAGTGAATCGAAGCGATGCAGAGCAGCGAAAAATCTCCATCTTCGCCCGGACACAAGCACGGAGCTGTCACTCTTGCCGTCTAGGAAGGGCGAAAGCGTGATCAACCTGAAAAAGCACATCGTGCTGACAGAATGGGTGAGGAATCACCGCTCACGCAGCTTTCGTTTTGAGCTGATACCTCGAGGCGCCAACTTCGGACCGAGTAAAGCGCTCAAGAGCAGATTCCCTACGGCAGTGCATGAGCTGCAGCTTTGAAGCAAGGCCAACAGGACGAGCACACCGAATTGGGTCGTGGGAATGATGCGCTGCATGGAAGAATACTTCCTGAAGCTTGCCACCACAGCACCGCCCGTTGCGCAGGATGGTCAGAAAAACACAGGCTGAGCTTGAACTGCAGACTGCCGAGGAACCGAGATCTGGCAGATCGCAGGCTAGTCATGAAGGAAAGCAGGCGCTGCGCACCTTGGCTCGGCAGAAACGGAAACCGCTGCGCAGAGCCCACACACTCGCCTGCGCCGCGTATGGTCAGAAGGAGTCTGGTCATCTCCTCCACAGGATCCTCGCACAGGCGACCAAACGAACCACACTCCTTGGCCTCGGCCCTGGTGGAAGATCCTTGTCGGAGCGAAGAGCCCGTGCCACAAGCTCTGAGGGGATGAAGCTCCTTGGAGCTTCACATCTCGCAGCATCAGCTTCGACTGCAAGATTTGCAAGAACAACCCTGCCCAGACTTGATCTTTGCAGAGCGTCGCATTCCGCCAAGTGCTCGAAGCCAGGTACAGCTTCATTAGCCTCCTGAGCTGCGGTTCTGCAGCACGTGCTGCCCAGCATCGGTTGAATTCAATCCTAGGAAGCCCTTTGTGTTCATTGTCATGTACTCTGTGAAGAGCCCCGGGTTCTGCAGCTACCTTCCTCGTTGCTTGCGGTGGATGCGATTGCTAGTGCTCGTTCTCTGCCGTACTGACCGATCCCAGAAGGCAGATTGAAGACTTCGTCCGATATGAAACCTCGAAAGGCTCCAGATGATCGTGATCAGATTCGACCTCTTGAAAGGCCTCGCGGATTAAGCGAAGAAGCTGAGGTTCCGAGACGACAGTCATTCGGTCAGACCAGGGCAGAACAAGTGGAACATCGGGGCGGCCCTCGATGAGCTCGGTATCGGAGAGGACACGTCAAGGTTGAACCGCTAATCGGTGAGGTCTGTTGCATGAGCAGCCATGGTTGGCTGCATAACGCCGCTTCTTTGAGAAAACGGCTGGCTGTGCAGTCAAGTCGCACGAAACTCTGCAGCTCTGGAGGATTCAAAAGCAACGGTGCCTGTGGCAGCGGGAGACGGTACGGAAGGCCCATCGAGCTGAACAGCACTTCTCTCAATGCCCCAATCTCACGGAGTCTGCTCGCACGCCTCCTCGAGAAGCTGAGTTAGCACCGAAGACTCTTCGTACATTGCTTCGTAGAACTTCTCCTTTCAGAAGCGGACAGCTGCTTGCTTCGTGCTAGAGCTTCGGCATTTGCCGGTGATGTGGCCACCTTGAAGGTGACATGTTTACGGCAACTCTGAACTTCCGAGATCGTCACACATGTCACAGAACCCTCCAGTGCCCAGAGTTGATATCTTGCGGGGTTTCAAGGTCTTCGAGGAAGGACTGACAGGGATCTGTTTGCAGGACTTTGTCGGAGGCCCCTGAAGCAAAGCCTTTGCATGGGAAGCTGAGCCAGAAAGCCACTAAGCTTACTGCGTGATCAGCAAAAATATGCGCTGCTGGCTTTGGCTGCGTTTGCTTACTGCTCCTGCGGTAAAGGTCCATGGATGCAAACGTGGCTTCTTCGAACCTAGATTCATGGGACGTGCCCGCCCCTTGTCGCGCCTGCCGCACCAGCAGAAATGACGAGGTGTAGCCCAGCAAAAAACTAAACAGGAGGCCAACGGTGTTCCTGGCAAGGCCACAGTGCCACGAGACAAGCTGGGTGCGGGAGTCGCCGGCCTGAAGAAGACCTGCATTGCCTCCGGCACAGAACCGCAAAGGCCCATGTAGGCGAAGCACAGCTTCCTGTCAGTCAGGAGAGTAGAAGCGGTGTCGACTTCACTCGGCAAACTTTACGATTTCGGGGCACCCGTTTCTATGGTTGCCGAGTTTCTGCTCACCGGTGATGAGCTCTGCGGCAGTCCTCCATCAGGCTGCAATGCAAGCTTCTAAATTCTAGATGTCGTGTGCGGAAACTTGTGGAATGAGGGAAGGGTTGCGATTCGGGCACTGATCACACTCCGAAAATGCTTCAAGTCTATCTGTAACCTTCCGCCAAAGGGCTCCCTGAGCCAGGGGTAGCATACTGCCGCCAGAGGCCCCGCAGCCAATCCAAAGAGCAACTGGACGGAGGAGGGTTTAGGGTTTAGGCTTTAGGGGTTTCAGAGACTCCTCAGATGGAAGCTGCTAAGCAAAGAGCGACATGTTACGGGATGCAGCTGTTGCAATTTGACATCCTCGGCGATTCGGTGATCCCGCCTCGACGACCCGCAAGCCACGCTCACGTGCCGCAATGATGACCTCAGGTGCATTGGCTTTCTTACAGAGCGTGAGAGATGACTCGGACGAGCTGAGTGAGGCATGGGAAAAAAGTAAGTGTGTGTGTGTGAGACCATCGCCAATGCTGTCGAAGAAAGTTACTGTATGCACATTTTGGACGTCTGCCTCTCTCCGTCCACTTCAGGCGAGCAACATCTTCTCCCCTCCGCCCCCTGCGTTCACGCCTCTCTCGGGCGGAGAGCTCAGCCTTCAGGGACGGGCAACGGGATCTGGGCTGCGCATCTCGTGTGCTCCGTTTGCATCATTGACCATGTCTTTGCCTCACGCCGATCTCGATCTGCTTCGCCTGCCGGCCGGGCAACCAGCCGACCTGACAACAAGAAACATCCAACCGTCAAAGCTCTGGACAGAACAAGCGCCAGCCTGAGCTGTCTTTCTGGCGCTTGATAGGAGCTTGAGGGTTCCGGCCCATACTGCTCGAATGATCGAGTCCGCTGGTGGGCACGCGTCTCTGTTGTCTCTCTTTCATGCGGCGTTTGCGGTTCGGGAATGTCTGGGATCCATCAGGCGCTCCCATCTGCTTGTATTGTTCAAAGCCCTCGAAGGGGAGCTGCACGAGCTGATGACACCTGATTCTTTCCTCCTCCACACACCATACTTGTTAAGTGACCTCGCTCATGGCAGCTTTCGATTTCTTTCGATAAGCCCGTTCGATCACTCTCTTCTTTTGTTCTTCGCCACAGCCAAGCCGCACACCGCAGGCGCTGTAAGTCAGTCTGACTCTGTCCCGCTCTTTCTCGGATGCAGTCCTAAATGTTTGACACCAAGCGAGACAGGCAGCCCGGCTCCGAGAAGCGAGAGCATTACATTTCTAGCAGCACGTGGTGTCGAGCGTCGTCTGTCAGTCTTTAGAGGCGGACAGAGAAAGTAAGAGAGAGCGACAGACATATATATATATATATATATGTACGCATACACAGACATATACACATGTGTGTGCGTATGTGTATATATATATATATGTATCCAGATATGTACATATATACATACAAAGTCGAAAGCAACTGACACACGTCAACCAAAAAGTGGGGAAAGAGGGCATCCTGCTCTATCTGCAATTGAAACCTACATCTTGCTCCAACTTGCTGTCCAGCTGCTGCCAGCCCGTACCTGCGCACGTTCAGCAGGTGCCCGCTCCGAATGCACGAAAACAATCCAGCCGAGACAACTGCAACAAGATTGTGCGAACACCTCAGCAAGGATCCAGCCCACACGGTGCCATGTGAGCACCACGACCGAACAAAGATGAACAAAGAGCTTGTACAGCAGAAGCGCGCCTGCACGGTAATGAAAGCACTGCCCGCTGCTGCACAGCGCCAGGGCTGGCTCTGCCTCTACGAACGGCGCCATTGCAACTGCCAACACTTCGGCACTTTGCAATTGATGAATGGTGCTAGCGGCACATTGCCCTGCGTGCTTTTGACTTCGTTAGTCTTAGCAGTGCCCCCTTTGAGGCTCCTCGGGGGTGGAAATCTTACCGTTCTTTTTGAGGCTTCCGAAATTCGAAGTGCCCTCGCCGCGTTGCCATGATATGCCATGCATATTTGGGGAAGCACGTTGTCGCGCAACACCGTCCCGTGTTTATCCACGGCCCGAGGAAGTCGTGCTCCCACTCCGGATTTTGCTCGTATTTTGGGCTCATGGGCTGGTCTTTGGACTTTGTACTCTGGAACTGCTTCTGGAATAGTTCCTGGGTGTGACGGGCTCTCTACTTCCTGGGGTGTACACTGCAAGCCCTGGTGAGTTCTTGCGTTGGTGCTCGTTGTTCGTTTGGTTCTGGGCGGAAGGCGCATGCACAGCGCACTTCACAATTGACTCAAGGCCCTGACCTCAACTCGAAACCGAGGCCTCAAACTCGATTTTGTGTGTCATGCTTGACTCTTTTCTGGTCTTGAATCAGAATGCGTTTCTGCTGACTTCGTGTCTGAGACTTCTGGGTTCTGGGTGCTCGGTCTTCGATTTCGGACGGTTTAGGACGTAGCACGCACAAGAACATCTTTCCACTCGCTCAGCATGCCGGCGAATGCAAGCAAAGGGGGCTTCAGGCTGCAGGGTCTTCAATTTCGGGCTTTGCTGCCTTAGGGCGCAACACACGATTTGACTAGTGGTAGTAGGGGAAGAAATAGTAGTTGTTGTACTGCTTTTGGTAGTGGTAGGGGCGGTTTGGTGGTGGTGGCGGGGGTGGTAGTAGCAGTAGTGGTAGTCGTCGTAGCAGCAGTAATAGTAGTAGTGGTAGTGGTAGTAGTAGTAGTAGTAGTAGTAGTAGCAGTAGCAGTAGCAGGAGTAGTATAGGTAGTAGGTAGTAGGTAGTAGG